TTCAGAGACCGCATCGCACGCTTCAAGCTGAGCGCACTGTCGTTATGTGCCGTTATGTGCCGTTAAGTACCCTTCCTGTGTCCCATTTCAGAGACCGCAACCATCGAACGGCGCATTTGAAGCTTGCCTGAGGTCATCACGCGGCACGAACGGTGTCCCATTTGGCACAAAATGCAAAGCGCACATTCAAATTCGGTCTCAAATCCACACTACCCCCGCCCCTTTTTTCAAGCGTGCATTTATGCACGCTTTTGTGCCGTTGGTATCCCCGAATTCTTTGCGTGCCGCTGCACAGCTGCGCATTTCGGGTGAGAGGCTGGACTCGTTTGGAGACGCAGCACGCCTTCAAAGAAAATACAAGAAATCCAAAAACAGCAGACACTCAGCTCAGGCTGCATGAGCACATGATCTTTGAACTCACTAAAATCTGCAAACCAAACATAATAGTATTTAGAAAAGAATTTATCCACTCTGCTACTACAATCAAAAACATTAGAAATAAGAAAGCTGACAAAACTACAGTAGAGTATCATTGACACATTGAGTTTTTTTTGTCATTTTTTTTTAAGATTTAGAGATTAAAGTTGTAAACTTGGGAGAATAAAGTTATCAAGTAAATAAAGTCATAAAGCTCCTTTAGTGGAGGGGTTGATGACTGAAGCTGGTCATCTCCACGGTTATCGGTGGATGTATCAGCGGGTCATTCAGAGAGATTTTGTGGTTCTGAAGGAACAATCAAACTGATGAATAACATTTGTGATCCAGAGGGAGTCGAGCTCCAACGAGCACCACGTCTCTGACACCGACAGTAACCTACACCTGCAGAGACGCCAACACCTTATTATGGCATATGGATTAATGACTCTATTCTTGTAAATTCATGACTTAATTCTCGAAGAAAAAAAAGGACTCAACCAGGAAGCCCTCCAAAGGTCGCCAAATGTCCCTGCCCTCAGGCTCGCGTCACGACTGACTTAAAAACCCGCGGAGCGCAGCATTTATTGTTTTAATTGTGCGACCTTGCACAGACACAAAATAGTAGATTCATACAAGCACAGATCATTTCCACAAAATTCATCCAATGATTGTTTTGTATGAAGGAGTATGAGGGCCATATTGAGAATTTTTTAAAGACTTCGAGTCGTGAATTTACGCGAATAAAGTCATTAATTTATGAGAATAAAGTCGTAACCTGTTATTTCAGAGGAGAGTTGTTAAAATTAGGACCATGAAGCATTTGAAGGAACTGTGCTTCAGTATAGGTTTCACAAACAAGGAGATACTTCATCCTTTGGCACATCAGCATTACACTGTCATAAGTATAAGGGCTTAGAATATATGAGAAATACGTCTTTTCCACGGGGAAAAAAACTGGTGTACTTGAAGGAAATCGCTGCTTTTGTGGGGGCAGAAATGAATATGCTGAGGATATATCCGTTTATGCAGCCGTTAATAGCCGTGAAGGACATTGAGCTTTAGTTTATGATATGAATCCATATGCCATAATAAGGCGTTGGTGTCTCTGCAGGTGTCGGTTACCGCCGGTGTCAGAGACGTGGTGCTCGTCGGAGCTCGACTCCCTCTGGATCACAAATGTTGTTCATCAGGTTGATTGTTTCTTCAGAAACCACAAAAACTCTCTGAATGACCCGCTGATACATCCACCGATAACCCTGCAGATGACCAGATTCAGTCATCCCCCACCCCCACCCCCACCCCACAAAAGCAGCTTTATGACTTTATTCTCCTAAATTTACAACTTTAATCTCTAAATCTCAAAAGAAAAAAAAAAACTCAATGTGTCAATGATACTCTGCTATAGTTTTGTCAGCTTTCTTATTTCTAATGTTTTTGATAGTTGAAGCAGAGCGGATCAGTTGTCTCTAAATCTATAATGTTTCGTTTGCAGATTTTAGTGAGTTCAGAGATCATGCGCTCATGCAGCCTGAGCTGACTGTCTGCTGATTTTGGATTTCTTGCATTTTCTTTAGAGAGCCAGCCTCTCACCCGAAATGCGCAGCTGTGCAGTGGCAAGCAAAGAATTCTGGGATACCAACGGCACGAAAGCGTGCATATATCCACGCTTGAAAAATGCTAAGCGCGCTTAGCATTTCTTAGCATTTTGTGCCAAATGGGACACTGTTCACGCCGCATGATGACATCAGGCAGGCTTCAAATGAGCCGTTCGACGGTGCGGTCTCTGAAATGGGACACAGCCATAGACTGCTGTATATTGCTATAGTGCAGTCGTTGCTGAAGTTGGTGTAGCTAGAGAAGCAAGCAGTCAGGAACATTACATCTCTCAAGGGGGTGTCTAATTGGTGGTGGTGTGTTTGACCTTAACTTGACTGGATTTTTTCACCCTGTAAATTACAGTTGTTTTTAAATGAAATTAATTTATTAAAATCACTCACAGCGGGATGATTGAGATTTATTATGCCTCTGCTTTAAAAGAAAGAAAACAATCTCATGCCTCCACCTGGAACCAAAGGCAGTCATTTGTCTTAAAAACAGCAACCTTCAAAAGTGTCCTCAATTTATCCCCTAACCCTCTGTTTTTCCGCCAGTTTTCAAATGTAATTTTAGATTTCTCTGACCACCATTGTTGCACGTCATGGTTCAGCTCCCCCTGAGATTGCACTATTGTGCCAGACTGCAGCCTCAGATCCCTGTGCAGCACTTTTCTGACTCATAGCTCAGGACCAGGATCAGCACAAAAGGCCTCAGCTCTTTAGAGGATTTAAGTTGGTGGTTTCATTAATCCTGTTGCCTGTCTCTTCTCTAATCATCTTCACAGACTTTTCTTGTGTAATGCACTTTTCTGGTTGTACGTCAATAATTCTCCTTCACACATTAAATACATTACCTACAACCTACCTTCTGAAACTGCTGCAAAAATGATGTTCATTACTGATTGTTAAGTGCCCGTAGAGTAGTGTTTCATTTGCACTACATTGTTTGCTTCAATCATTTCATTTTTTGTATATTAAGCCGACCAGCTATTTTTACAGACTGCTGTTCAGCTAAGAAAGACCTTCAATTATTGATTATCTGCAAACACTGAACTGCTCTCTCTCCTGCAGTCGAACCAAATTTCTCTCATTACTCATCCTGTGTCTTGAGCAAATTTTTTTGAACTTGGATACTGTATTCTGCACCAGTTTGAAATCTGTACATTTGAGAAAAATGGCTGAAAAATGTTACGATTTCAAATGGCAGAAATCCTGAGTACAGATGACGACAAAATCCAATCAATCATTCCAATCTAACAGATTTCAATGAAAATCTGCTGTTCAGCTCTGTCCAAGAAAAGGACCAACAAAGTGACTGGTGATGATGGAGGCAGGGTCAAAGGGGCAGGCTAGACCCATTTTGACCCCCCCCCCCCCCCCCTTATTTTACTTTATCTCAAAGTGATGCTCTTGCGGAACTCCCTGAGACAGCGTGTCTACATTCAGTGCATCCACTCTCCTATTTTGAGCCCCAACTCATTGCTGGCTTTCCTTTTCCGTTTTACAAAAAGCTTTGCAAAAAGCTTTGCAAAAATAACCAAAATGGTTACTGTATATCTAGAAGACTAAATTAACTCTTATAGCCCGACGGTCCCTTGCAAGGGCCGAGATTTTGCTGCATGTAATTCAGCACTATAAAAAATGTATTAAATCTTGACCGCGGTGTTTACTTTCACTTCTCGATCAAAGTTTGGACTCTAATGTTCACAAAACTGGGTCGGATGTCTGTTTTAGTGCAAACGTTACCTTTTTATGTCGATTTTAATCTGCCTTGTAGCGAAATTTGGACCTTTAAATTTTGGGACAGCCACCGAATCAAAGCTTTATAGTGTAGCGGAGAATTGCTCCGTAGCCTACGGCCATGCTTGTAGTCATTCGAAAGGGGAGAAGCTACTGAATCGATTGACATCAACCTTTCTAAGAACTACATTTCCCAGTTTTGGAAAAAGCCAGGCGTAAAGTGCTCGTAATCTGTGCGCTCTTAGGTGCAGCGCCCCACAGACAAAGGCAGACTGCTGCATCGCACGCTGATCACTCGGGACTCTCCTGTAAACTTTCTCCACCACTTATAAAACTTCTTTTGAGTACTTTTCAACAATGGAGAAGAAACATTCAACTCTTAGAGGGATGTGGCGGACATTTTATGAGAAATTCAGCAGGGCTCAGACGGTGAATTTGAGGACTCCTCTGACTTAGCAGAAACGACGTCGTCTCCGAGGAGGAGGCATTGTTTACATTAGAAGTGGACCTCGTTTACTAGTAAGTATTTGCATTTATTTATAAGGCTCAGTGTTGTGTAGACTGATATGCATGATATGCATAACACCTTTGTCATGAAACTGTAAACACAGTAGTAAGTATGGCAATCCAATAGCATTGAATATTACTGCAGTTCCACTATATTTGTTCGTTTTGGGCTTACTTTGCTTGCAGACGTTGCATTTTATCTGTCTTTGAATATATTATTTATGAAAACAAAAACATGAAGTAAATACAAATGCAAACAAAATATAGTACAGGTCATGGTTACTCAAATTATTGAATAAGTTTACATATATCCACAACCTTTGTGTCCTTCAGGGAAATGTTCAGATGTTATTATTTATTTTGTGTTCTACATAGTAATTTATCTTCATTTTCACAGCCACTAAGAAGAGGGGAGTGAGGCACATCCACCCCCCCATCAGGGGTTTTCACACCTACTGTACTCCCTGCACCAGTCGCCCAACCCCCACCCTGACCTGCAACAAAGGTTGCACTGAGTGGTTGTTTGTTTGCACTTTTCTTTGAATAAAAATACTCCATGTGGAGCCCAAAAAAGTAGAATTTCCTGTTATTTTTCATTATTCTTTATCGCATATGAACATATATATGGTGCACAATGATAGAAATCGATGAGTCACAAGATAAATTTCATATCCAAAAGCTCCAATAGTTAGTAGGAGACTAGTCTAATAAAAATTAATTATAATTTGAAGCCAGTTTTCATCAGAGGTAGAAAATAAACCATTTGGCACAATTTGGCACAAAGTGTGCCAAACTGAGTCCTCGCCAGGGTGTATCCTTACAAAAACCTTCATGTAGGCTTTACTGTTTGCCCAAATGCTATCAAACTTGGTACATTTGTGGTCAAGGAGTGGGTGAAGCTAGTCAATGGCATCTGGGGGCCTAGAATCATTGCCAGCATTGTGTTTTCCTCTGTCAAAAAAAGAAAACATTTTGGCGAGGGTAAAAAAACGAACTTTTCCTCTGATTTATTCCACTTTACTCAGGCATAATGACAGATACAACACTTCTGACACTTGAAACACATTCTCTGAAGTCTCTAGATGTCCAAGGACACCAAGAACATGCATATAACCTTTAGTAAAGTGTAGTAATTCCTCATTTACTTTGGGTATGTCTTTTAGGCGTTTTTTTCCCTAAAATAGGCTCAGGGCTTAACAGGCTAATAATAATAACAGACAAAATATGGAGAGTTAACTTTTGGTCAGACTCTCAAAGGCAAATGATAATACCATTTAGCCTGCCTCCCCTGGCTAACAGTTAATTTTAGATTTGATTTAAATATCATAATGATAACTTTTGAAGCTCTGTCTTGACTTGTCCCAAAGTACATCACTGATCTCCCTCCACCTTACGAGCCCGGTCAGACCCTGAGATCTTCATCCAAGGGTCTGCTTTTCCTCAGTCCAGGCTGAAGACCAAGTGGGACCTGGCTTTTCATGTCAGGGCCTGTCAGGGCTGGAACAAATTGCCTGAGACCAGACTGGCAACTTCCTTCTCCTCTTTTAGGGTGCTTTTACAGGGTATGACTTTTAACACAGTTTGTCTAAATCATTCCTATTGATGGACTGTTTTGGAAATTGTTTTGTTGTCCGATGCTGTATGCCCTTCCTCTATTTCTATTCTGTCTTTTTAAGCACCTGGGGCCTCATTTATAAAACCTGGCGTAGGATCCATACTAAAAGTGTACTTAAGTCGAAAAGCTGAAAAGTGGGTACGGCAAAAAAAAAAAAAAATCAGATTTATAAAACCCTGCGTAGGCACACCTGCAGGCGCTTTCCCTTTATAAATCACAGACCAGCCGGAAAGTTGCGCAGCAGGGATTTGATTCATGCCCCGCCCTCTCCACACCCAAAATTCACCATGTATGGTCATGCAAATTACCTCATGAATGTGATTTGCATATAAATAAGCCTGATGGATCCACAGCATTTCACGATTAATCATGGCAAGTCGCAGAAAAAGAAACTTTTCAGAGACCGAGGTGGAGGTCCTTGTAGATGAGGTGGCGGCGAGACTGGAGACCTTATTCGGCGGCCATTCGAGTGGCATCACTAATAAAAGAAAAGCCACCAAATGGCATGCCGTTGCCGTGGCGGTAAGTGTGGCTGGCACTGAGCGCAGTGTTGCCGAAATTAAGAAGTGGTCTGATCTAAAGATGGCGGCAAAGAAAAAAGTGGCTTTGCACCGTCGGAGCATGGCGGCGACAGGTGAGGATCATAAAACACAAGCACATGTGACACTAATGCATGTGTTCCAAAAAAACTGCTCCGTTATCCACCGCTGCTTATGTGGTGAAAGTTGGTAAACCAAAAAGATTTAGTCAAAATATTTAACGTGGAAACTATTTGTTACATTTCAAATTAAATGCTAAATCCTGAAATCAAAATGTTGAATGAGAAGTAACTTCTGAATCATGTGATATCGCCAGCACCTTGCAACTTTTGACTGAGCAGAAAGTCTACAAATTTTACACACAGGTGGCGGCCAGACCACAGAGGAACCAACACCACTTCCCTGCAAAAGTGCCAGTGTGTGTGGCATTGTGTCGGAGAGGGAGGGGGACACAGATTTTGCACAGACTGAGGAGAGTGGTAAGTTACAATTTTACCCGTTTATTGAATCAAAAGTTTGTACAGACACGTGGCAAGAAATGATGTGCATTGTGTCCTCAGTCACTGCAGTTGGAAGCAATGGGAGAGGATGTGGAGGAAGAGGAGGTGCTTCCCAGCACGTCTGGCACACTGGCTGCAGGCCTGTCTGTCCCCAGCACGCCCAGCAGATCCAGAGTGCGCGGAGGCGGCCGGGTTCTCACAGAGACTGTCCTGCAGACACAGAGGGACACAATCGGAGCCATCCGAGAAGTGAGGGAGGAACTGGCACAAATACACACAGTCTTGCAGAACATGTGTGACCAGAGCCGGATTAACCATGAGGCATAGTGAGGCTGAAGCCTCAGGGCGTTTGGCTATGGGGGGCCACTCAGCCCGAGCAGAAGCCGCTATGACGCTGGTGAGCTGCACCCGGTGTGAGGAGGATTAGGCTGTATTGGGACAGAGGAAAAAGTGCCTAGAAAGTGAATCTCGTTCCACTTCAGTGGGGCAACATAAACTGTGATTCATAAAACAGCTATATTGATAGTGATTGCTAAAAAAAAAAATCTACTCATGCCATCCCGTTGATTTTCAGTAATCAGTGTTTCGGTGTCGAACTATTTCCTTTCTGCGGCGCAGTGATACTTGCACACGCGCAATCGAATATGCAGAGAGGTGAAGCGATTTTTGTCACGTGGACCAATAGGAGAGCCGAGTCTCGTTGCCATAGTATCAGAAATACACAAACATGGCGACGAGCGCATCTAGCAGCGAGACAAGCGAAGAGGAAGAAATTAAAAGGAAAAAAAGAAAACAGCCGTCAAAAGTGCATCAAAAAGGAACGAAAACGATGCTATATGCATCTATCATCTGTCCAGAGTGAAGACGTTCTCCACTTTACAAGGCCACGTTGGGAAACTTACAGAACTAGTATTAGAAAGTGGCTTTCTCTACAGGGTGAGACAAAAGACCAGCCAGAAATGTACATATATGTGAGTAACACAAAAAAACGATTATATGGTGCTGCTGTTTTTGCTTGTAGAAACTGCTATGTTGATTCTGACAAGACAAAATCTTTCTCAGATGTCATAAATACATCTACCTAACATCTGAAACAGTTATTGGTGCCTTAGTATATGCATAAGTGAATTCAGATTATGAAATGTAGCAAATTTCTTGAAGAAAACGTCTCAACTCAAGTGATTTGCACCCAGCACAATGAAATATATACAGTAAATTTAGCTAAAAGCTTATGTTTCATACATAAAAATGACACAACCTACTGTGTAATAAAAGCAATGAAATATAAACAGCACATCATGGCCATAAATGGCTGAAAGTCAGTCAAATTGCTACCACGCTCCCCAAAATTGTAATAATGGAAAAATGTAACAAGACAAAAATAAATGCACAAAAGGTCTGAATTAATTCAAAATATGGTATAAAACATTTATTCAAGTATCACAGTGTCAAAACCTCTGACATTTATCAGTCCCTACAGAATATGAAAAGAAAGATCAAAACACAAATGCAGACAAATGTAGAACAAATATAAAATAATAAAAATCTCAAATCTCAGTGTAGCAATCCTTTAAACAAAACAAATTGTATAACCATAACAGGCCTTCATATCATGCCTTGCACTTTTATTTATAATGCTTGCTATATACTTATGATTTAAAATGCCTGAGGTTTTCTACAGTAAAAAAGTGAACTGTACACCAGCCTCTGTGCTTTCCTTGAAGACTTTTTTCACTACCTCTTGTTGAATTGAGTTCAGACACACAGTTGTATTAACCCAGTGGTTTGGCTAGAGGTGGTGGCTAGTGGAACCGTTAAATAACCCCCCATAACTGCAGCAATTTCCACAAAATGACCAATAAAAACTGCCAATTTTTTCCGCGCACGGGACAGAGGGGGGCCATTAGGTTTGCTTAGCCTCAGGGGCCACAGAAGGTTTAATCGGCTATGGACGCAATAAAAGAGTTGTTGAAAAAGTGCAAAGCACTTGCACTTGCCTTTTTACACAAGCCGCATCACTTCCTCACGTAGCCTTGCTCCATGCTGATGTTCGTCATGCCGGGGAGGTGGCTGTGGGTCGGGGTCCACGTGTGGCGGGGCAGGGGGGAGGTCAGGTTGGAGGGGGATGGCGTTCCTCACTGCCAAGTTGTGCAGCACCCCACACGCCCGTATGATTTTACACACCTTTCTGGGGTGGTAGAGTAGCCTGCCCCCCGAGGCATCTAAGCACCTACCACCTACTCTTCAATAAACCAATGGCGCGCTCCACAACAGAGCGTGCCGTGCCGTGCACAATGTTAAAGCGCACTTCCTCCGCGCTCTGTGGATTTGGAAATGTGGGTAGCCGCTGTCACCTGCGAGGTATAACCAGAGTAATTAACAAGCGTGATCCAATTGCATTCCAAGAGGGGCACTCAGTAATGCTGTTCCAGTGGCAGCAACAGAATGGGTCCAATGTAGAGAAAAATTTCCCCGACAGAGCAAATAAAGTTGTGTGGGAATGCTATGGTGTTAGTGTAATACTTACCAAGGAGCCAGCCATCACAAGTAGCACCTGTATGCAGTCTGTTCCCTACACCGCTGTGCACCAAAATGAATGAATTGTGTGTGAGCACAATTGAGGAGTCACAAATTATTTGAACATTTATCGTGTGCACACCTTTTCTGTTTACATAAACAAATTCGTTCTCGCTGGGGGCTCTTAAAGCAATGTGGGTGCAGTCAATTGCACCGATTACAATAGGGAAACCGGACATTGATGCAAATTGCCTTTTGCTGTTGGCCTGTTCAACAACAGTGTAGGGAAACCTGATGTAGCGACTGATCATTTGGATGATCCCATCCAAAACAGCTAGCAGTGCGGCACTGAGGGATGGCTGCGAGATCCCAGACCTGTTAGCACAGAATTTAATATTGATTTATATTTCGTGAATCTATACATTTAAATTACGCCTATATTGTGATATGACTGTCATAATAAATACCTGTCCGACAATTCCCTCTGGAACAAGCCTGTTGCCAAGAAACCAATTGTTGTCAGCACCTTAACGTGTGCCGGTATGGCGCGGTTCTGGTGTGTTGGTGCTCGAAAATTGTACTCAATTCAGCAATTAGATCCAGGAGCAAGGCTCTAGGGAGTCTAAAACGGCTTATTAGCCATTCATCATCATGAGCCAGGAAAAGTGCAAAAGCAAGGTGTGGAGTTTGCTTAAAGTTGCGCACATTCCTACGCTATTTTTTTTATTTTTTATAAATCCCAACTCTTGCTTAAGAAAGTGGCCTACGCACTTCCAAGCCAGGTTTTGTGCGTAAGCAAGCTTTATAAATGAGGCCCCTGGTATTTAAAGAGCTTGCTTGTGGTCTTGAGCGGCATCCTTTTTGCTCACATGCAGGTAAAACAGCCACTGCTTTTTAAACTGTATCATGTTCATATTTTGCTGCAGATAATTTTTGAGGTCTGGATGGCTAAAATAGTATTTGTACTCGTGGTGGAGTTGAAGAGGGATTGCTGATGAGCGATCCTCACTAATATAATTGGAGAGAGAGCAGCACTTGATGTAGACAAACTACTTAGACGAGTTTTCTAACTTTAACCATTGAGTTGACTCTCTGTCTTTCCCTTTGTTGGCGTTTTTGTCTCTGTCCATTGTCTTGTAATTTTTCCCCACGTTTTTTTATTCGCCTTAAATTTTCAGACTTTTTCAGAAACTTGGATGAAGCCATGCCCGAGTTTCTTTAAAGCATTAGTAATTAGCTGCACGCATAGAGTACAAAGGTCTAAGTTTGTTATATTGTTTAGTTCGCTAAAGTGACTCCTGAAGATAGTATTGGCTGGCCAGCAAAATGATTTTCTCAAGTTATTGGCGTGAATTAATCTGCAGTAAAGGTAATCCTGAATGCCCGGAGGACCGACCAGCATCATCTGCCGAGCTGCGTTTGCCACCCGGTTCCAAGAGCTAGGAGTGCTGAGGGATCAACGGGTGCCAATGGTGTGCGTTTGTGTGTGACATCAGATCCACTGTTCGGCCGGCTGCAAGCCGACCCGCAAAGACCATCTGTAGCCTGGACCTTTGGCTGATTCGCTCAAAGACTGCCGCTGAGAACCGTCATCAAATAAGTATGCAAACCCCTCGACACCCGGTGATGCTGTCAAGCGTTCAGAGCTTATAATTTTAATTAAAGTTTAGTTTCTCCAAATTCCTATTCAGAATTTATCCTCGTAACACCATTAACATAGGTTAAATTTTTCCTTATTCACTAACTATCATTAACCTCCAGTCTTCGTTTCAGTTCAAACCATTCCTTTATGTATTCATTAGGTGTTCTTTTATTTTCTCATTATGTTATCATCATTTATTGAATTTATGTTTTCACCTAGCATTTGTTAGAAAAGTAGCCATATATTTTAAGTTGTCTTCCCTTACTGGTCCTTCCAGAAGCGAAGTCCCTGAAATGAGAATTCCGGCCTCAGATGTGAGATTGATTTAAATCTGTTTAAGACTGATTCAACGTTTGATTACTCAATTCAACTTTATTTTTGTCCTTTTCCCACCAGAAAAAGCTGGGTGGTGCCCCTTCAACGAGTAAATGACATAATTTAATTCTATTATTTTAGGACATTTATCATAAATTCAAATCGCTACATTGATAAGTATCCAATGTCACAAAAAATAAAATATACACCAAAACTACCAAAAACAAAACTTGAATTAAGCCATTATTAAAATGATAATGATAGTAACAAAAAACCTATCCTTGAGGTATAATCATAAAACCATCGAAAAACAAGCCAAAACTAGATAAAAAATACTACTAAAACAAATTTCAAAATTATTATAACTTTGTTTGGATCAATAAAATAGTATCAGATTTTGCCTATTTCTTTGTGCCACCATGTCATCGGTAACTGTGCTGTACAGAATAAGAGTACAAAAAAAAACAACACACATTTAAAAAAAAGAAAAGAAAACGGACTGATAATGAGATAAACATGATCTACAACTTTGCCTTGGAAATTGTGATTTTGGTTCAAAAGTGCAGTTTGAAAGATTTGGCATTTAATCACAACTGTCATTTGACATTTCACAGTATGTCCTATTTAATTTAATTTAATTTAACGTTTTCTTTCTTTTAATGCTAAGATGTTATTTCTATGATGTTATAAAGATGTTAGTCGGTAGTTCAACCTCTGTCAGGAGGAAAAGAAAAAATAAAATACAGGAAATATAGTGAAATAAACACATGCTGGACAAGTCAGAGACTGTAGGTGATTATTAATTTTTTTCTGTCCTGTTTTCTGTTCGCCCAGACTCACTGATCCTTCTGCTGTGCAGACATGGACACAAGGGCTGTGTCCGAAATGGCATACTGCCTACTATCTACTTACCTACTCAAGCAGTAGCTACTGCCTACTGACTACTCAAAGATGATTTGAGTATGCCGCGGCTGCCCGAGCGTTTACACACATACATACTAAATACCCCAGAATGCATTTCGTGCCGGCCGGACGCAGCACCGGGAAAATTTAAATAGTCCTACCACAAGCTACACAGAACGACTGCATTCCGGACAAATTATATAAATTCATTCAATAATAATATTTTTTCTAGCGAGAAATTAAGTGTTTACATCACGATTATGAGCCCAGTTGTTTGAAATAGTGGCTGTTTGTAAATTTGTCTCGGCGTTTTCGGAGACCGAAGCGTCCGCTTGGTGGGTGTTTGCGTCTATTTACCGTAATCACCGGGCAGCAGCAGCTCCCCCTTCACGTTTCCAAATTATTGCGAAGTGTTTTCATAATCAACATCTACACGACACAACCATGTGTATCCATGGTGATAATGCTATACACCACCTGCTAGGCGTGTGATGAGCAGCAGAGGGCTGCAAAATGACCAACACACAACATAATTATTATGACCTTGTTCGGTTATTCCTTGGCAAATACATCATTTCCCGACTACATTCTTTTCATGTACAATGATAATTTCAGAAACCATCAGATTTTCAACCACAAGTAAGAATTAGTAAAAATCACATATACATTGTCAACTGGAAACTCCCCCGTTTGTATATTCTGAACCATGTGCTCTCTAATAATTTTTATTCATCAGAGGTCTGCTTAATATGAGTGACCACTTTGATGATGCATTCAGAGATGAGAAGATGCTCGAACTTGATGTAATAAATACATCTTTAATAGACACTTAAATAAAGTCAATTCATACGAATAGTTAAAAACATTACCTATAATCCTAATTTAAAATACAAATAAATCTGGTAAAAAGATCAAAATATGATAAAATGATAAAAATTGTGTAATGTATACTGACTAAATATTGTTTATCTATTTATATATATATATATAATTATTATTGCAATCACATGCCATCTATTTCTTTTCAGCCTCGGGAAAGAGGGCCATATTACCAGCTGAGGTGCGCAATGCATTGTGGGGCAGAAGCAGTACGTGAAGCAAGCTCCGTTCCACACGCAGAAATCGAAGCCGATTGAGTATACATCCGGGCATTTCTCGCATACACAAAATTTGCATACTGTACAGTGTGAACGCACTGCCTACTCAATTCAGAGGCGGGTTTAGTAGGAGTAGTAGGAGTAGTAGGCCATTTCGGACACGGCCAAGGAGTTGTACGACTCCAGTGCGTGCACGTGTGTGTGTGTGTGTGTGTGTGTGTGTGTGTGTGTGTGTGTGTGTGTGTGCCTGGATGTTCCTTATTGCTATGCTGCTGCAGAGTGAGAAACAGGAGAGGGATTAATTTGTGTGGTTGGAACTGTTTAATATGTTTTATCTTGATTTTGTGCATGCCAACATTAAGGGCTACTAAATTTATATTCAAGCTTGCTAAGAATACAACGAAATGGAAAATGTGTAGAGAGAGCACTCAGGTAAAACAGACTGACCTTCAAAAAAATCAAATCTTTTTGTTGTTGTGTTGGTTATACTGTAAATGTTCTTGCAGTTAAAGTAGACTGAAAGCAATTATAAAACTTAGATACTGAGTCTTATTGCATGCTCTAAGCTTCTCTGACTGCCTTACTCTTACTGGAAGACATTACTGTCCTTGTTTCAGTTATTGATCCTTGATTTCACAGTTTATAATCCATTTCTCCAATTTCTCCCACTACACTAATAGTTTGTTATGAGCCTGAAAATAATACAGATTTTTTACCTCAACACCGCCTCCCTATCTACCTTTCCTGGAGTGTGTCTGTAGATGATTGTATAGGATGTGTTTCTTCAGGCTATGTACAAAGTTAAATGTTAAGAGATCAAACATTCAGCTAAATGCCTCCAGAAAAAAGTGCTTGAAAACATCCCAGGGATGTAGTTTGGTTCAGAGAGGATGAAACTCCACACAGATATTTGTGAGGAAAAGTCTACAGTATGTATGCATGTATTAGATCTTTCTGAAGCAAAAAACTTGAATATTTATGAAATACGATGTGCCAGAAACACAAACCTCCACAAGTCCTCTGTAATGATTTAAGCAGATCACACACATCACACCTTGAGTCCTGTTATGTTCCTGGGGGTTGCAGACACTGCTGATGCTGAGTCAGGTGCATTATTATGCAGCTCTGAAGAGGAATTTGTCAGATCTGTTCAGTTTGATGACCGAGGGTTTTCAGAGGCCTAAACTCATTTCCATGAGTGGAACAGTCCCAGACTTTTTGACCTTCAACTTGTGGCTGTAAATTCAATTAGCAGTTGTGTCAAGAAGTGTCAAGAACAGGGGGCATAGCCATAGAGTCAGAGGACAGTCATATTTTATTCAACTTAATACAGCGAACACATGTGTAGACATAACAGCCGACAATGCCCACTGACAGTTAATTTAGCAATGATCAGCTGATGCCCTCAAGCTGTTTCAGAATATCACTCCCCTAAATTGTCTTTGCATTGACTAAAATGGCCATGAATGGAGTCCCAACAACCCAGTTAGACTTTTGTTATTTTTCTTATAATGTGTTTTAAAACCATTAAGTGTGTCAGCTTGAAACAGGTGGGCTTTGCTCCTAAATATTTATTGTCAGTACTGGGAGCATTGTTATTTCCAGATTTTAATTTTGTAGAAATACCCTGGACTGGCCTGCAGATCATCCATCTTGTTTCACTGTTTCCAACGTACAATGGCAAAAACCCACTGGCACACTGTGCACATAACAGAAGACCAAATGTTGCCTGGTACATGCAGCTTTCCTAGGTTTGTTCTGCTGTAGGTTCTTCCTTTTAGACTCAAAATGGCTACAGCAACAGGAGAGAGGGGGACTGCATGTTCTGGTCACAAACAGGAAGAGTTTGAGTTTGATGTGCTGTTGGGTATCTGTCCTCATACTTTACTCTCTAGGGACGCTTAAATCAAAGCTCACAGACCTGCTTCATTTTTTCACGAGCAGGAGACGTGATGAGGATTTCATTGGCAAACTAAGTTCCACTTTGTGGTTTAAATTAAGTGGGCTGTATTGATTGGATTGGTGGGGGATTTGTGTGTGTGGGAGGATGGATCTCCCTGATACAGCTCAGTAAAGTCACCATGTTCAATGATAGTTTTCTGAGAAGAAACTGAAACAAGGGTTAACTGATAAATGTGCAGTGTTGACCCGTGTGGAGCTACTTTATCTGTGATGTCAAAAGTGTTTATATGCAGGTATGCAGTTTTAATTCTGTGTATTCAATGATTTCAGACATATCAGGATTGATGTCACTGTATTCAGAAAGAATAGCGGTTAAACTCCACCTGAAGTGGAGAAGAATAATATGTTTTCTGATGTTAATACAAATGTTATTTACCACCCTGTTAACTTTGAGTGATAACAAGATTAGATCTCAAAATCTGCTCCAGGACACCAGGGGCCTCATGTATCAACGCTTGCGGCGCAAGAAAACCTTGCGTACGCCAAAATCGGCGCACACGTCCAGATTTATCATCACGAAACGAGCGTCGGTTCCAGCGCTAATCAACGCAAAGTCAGGAGGTGGTGTAGAAATTGGCGTTGAGCTGATATTTGCGTTGACTGTGATTCGCACTTTGGCGACACTGTGTGGCGGTGTTTGGTGACTCACTATGTGACAAGCGTGCACCACATCCCCGTGGCCGAGCAGCACGTCGCCCCACATGACTACCAGCAGCAGACGGAGGGATGCGAGCTGATCACCGCCGGCCGCCGTCCTCGCGCGGGAGAATCTCATCGCCACAGTGTGAATGGGTAAGAAGTGAATACACAG